CTTCTCTGGCGCCGCTGCGCTGGAACGTGCATCCTAACGTCAAGGCGTTCGGTCCACAATAGGTTGCAGAGGAAGCAACCGACCCCTCGCAGCGAATGCCGTCTACTCCCACATCCCCAACCACCATTTCCTATCCTCGCCGAACGATCCCCCTCCAACTTTCAACACAAATGTGGCCACACTTCGTTGCGACGCACTTTCAGAGAGCAACGGCGCGGCAAATAGCGAATCATGGCGCAGCAGAACATCCGAGACGACAAACCTCTGCGCACAGGGCACTGTGGAGGGAGTGGGCTAGGACCGAGAAGCGGGGCTAAACTCAGTCGCAGTTCGTCTCGGGCGCCGCTGCGCTCGAACTCACGCCGCAACACTGGGTGTTCGGTCCCACAACCACCACCACCACCAGTCCTCCTCTGACAATCTGCCCTACGAGCCTCCTTCTCCGAAGTGGTCGGGAAAAATGCCCTCGCCGATTGACTTGTCAAGTATAGCTCCCGGCAGCCATCAGAACATACACTGCAACATCGAGGTGATCGGTCCACAGCTCGTTACAGAAACCCATGCTGATGGCTAAAAGAAACGGCCTATAATACATATATTTTTCTCTGGAGCCGCTGCGCTAGAACGCGCACCCTAATGTCAAGGCGTTCGGTACACAACGGGTTGCAGAGGAAGCAGCCGACCGCTCGCAGCGAATGCCGTCGTATTCCCCCTTCCCCAACCACCATCTCCTACCCTCCCCACCAAGCCTCCCCCTCCAACATCCCGAACTAAAGATAACCAGTGCTGCCGAAAAATGTGTGTTGCCGACGTCGCCCCATTGCTGCTCAGTATCGCGTGCACGCAGGAGGAAAAACGTTGCGCGGCATCAGAATCCAAAATGCTGCCTTCCCAAAATATCAGCGAATGAAAATCCGGTCGTATGTCAAAAGCCGGTCTTGGTCAATGGGAGCGCCTCCTTCTCCTCCTCCTCCTCCTCCTCCTCCTCCTCCTTCTCCTCCTCCTCTTCCTCCTTCTCCTCTTCCGTCTCCTCCTCCTTCTCATCCTCCTCCTCTCCACCACCACCACCACCACCACCACCATTCATCCACACCTTCCCCTCTACACCTCGGGCAGAGAGTGGTGGCAGAAAGAAGCGGTCTCTCATACAAGAATCACTGAGGTGCCGACTCCATGGTCTGCAACGCTGGCCACGCGCCTCAAGGGCCCTTCGAGGAAGCATAACTCTGGCGGTCAACACGCACTCAGCGGTCGACCAGCACGTCCTCCTACTACCAACTGCCCTCCCCTTATCGCCACCCCTCCTATCCTATCCAATCGCGCCCCCCCCCCCCCCCGATCCCATCAAATTGCAGCGCTGCGCCTCTCAAGGCGGCTTAGGCAAATGTGCCAGGACCTATGAAACGATGCTCTTGAAGCCGTGCCGGCTCTGGCAGCTCGGCGCACGTTGCGGCAGCTAATTCAGAGGTGGATTGCTGCGTTGCTTCTGCAAATCTGGGCTGGGCCCTTGCGCCCAACTGCTCGGGGATCTGTCCACACGACTACGTCCCACCCCGCCCACGCCTCCACCCTACACGCGTCCTCCGTTTGCGCCCCCGCCACCACCCGAGTCACACCGGGCGGAACATAGCGAATGCGCACGAGCACGGTCCATCAGAAAGCAGCAACGACGCGGAATAATCAAGATCGAGCAGGCACAGTACCCAACCGCAAGAGGCGAAGAGCCACGTACAGGAATCCGCCGAGGCGGACGCACATGCAGGAGCGCTTCCCCAGCCAGCAGCGGGGGACGGCCCCCCGAGGGGGGGGAGGCGAGGCCGGTACGGCCCGAAGGAGCGGGATGGGCGGGAGGAGAGGGGGGAGGGACGACGCTACGACAGCAGGAGGGACCCTTGTTCGAGTGAGAAGTCGAAGCCGATGCAATCGAGACTCTGCGTGATTATTCTGTATGCTGATGACGAGCACGCCCAGCGACGACGCGCCAAATGCGCGCCGGGAGGACTAGAGGCGGAAGGCGACGACGAAGATGGATGAAATATTGTGGCGTATGATAATGCCAATCAGAAGTTGTAAGATCAGCCTTCGCCGTGCCGAGCCTCTGATGTCTGTCTGAGCGCCGCGTGGACGCATGGAAGATCAAACTGAACCCCTCCACAATTATTTTGGCACCTGCGTGGAGCTTGTTTCGAAGGCGTTGCCTTCTCGGCCCTCTTTCTAAATCGAATCGGCTCGATCTGATGTCGTGCCCTGGTCTCAGAGTCGACCGTATCACCTGGGCCACTGCGCTGCGAAGATGGATGTGAACTGCGAGGCGCAGCGTCCACTCGGGCCGCGCCCACGGCGGTGTGCGCGCCTTCTCTGGCCGCGGCCGCCACTGCGCTGCGAAGATGGATGTGAACTGCGAGGCGCAGCGTCCACTCGGGCCGCGCCCACGGCGGTGTGCGCGCCTTCTCTGGCCGCGGCCGTCTCCGCCCGGGCTGCGGCTGCCTCCTCCGCCCCC